CTACAAAGCTACAGTAATCAAGAAAGTATGGTTCTGGCGCAAAAACAGAAAGATAGATCAATGGAACAGGATAGAAAGCTCAGAGATAAACCCACACACATATGGTCACCTTATTTTTGATAAAGGAGGCAAGAATAAAAAGACAGCCTCTTCAATAAGTGTTGCTGGGAAAACTGGACAGCTACATGTAAAAGTATGAAATTGGAACACTCCCTAACACCATACACAAAAATAAACTCAAAATGGATTAAAGACCTAGATCCAAGGCCAGAAACTATCAAACTCTTAGAGGAAAACATAGGCAGAACACTCTATACATACATCACAGCAAGATCCTTTTTGACCTACCTCCTAGAGAAATGGAAATAAAAACAAAAATAAACAAATGGGACCTAATGAAACTTAAAAGCTTTTGCACAGCAAAGGAAACCATAAACAAGACCAAAAGACAATCCTCAGAATGGGAGAAAATATTTGCAAATGAAGCAACTGACAAAGGATTAATCTCCAAAATTTACAAGCAGCTCATACAGCTCAATAACAAACAAACAAACAACCCAATCCAAAAATGGGTAGAAGACCTAAATAGACATTTCTCCAAAGAAGATATACAGATTGCCAACAAACACATGAAAGAATGCTCAACATCATTAATCATTAGAGAAATGCAAATCAAAACTGCAATGGGATATCATCTCACACTGGTCAGAATGGCCATCATCAAAAAAATCTACAAACAATAAATGCTGGAGAGGGTGTGGAGAAAAGGGAACCTTCTTGCACTGTTGGTGGGAATGTGAATTGATACAGCCACTATGGAGAACAGTATGGAGGTTCCTTAAAAAACTACAGATAGAACTACCATATGACCCAGGAATCCCACTACTGGGCATTTACCCTGAGAGAACCATAATTCAAAAAGAGTCATGTACCAAAATGTTAATTGCAGCTCTATTTACAATAGCCAGGACATGGAAGCAACCTAAGTGTCCATCAACAGATGAATGGATAAAGAAGATGTGGCACATATATACAATGGAATATTACTCAGCCATAAAAAGAAATGAAATTGAGTTATTTGTAGTGAGGTGGATGGACCCAGAGTCTGTCATACAGAGTGAAGTAAGTCAGAAAGAGAAAAACAAATACCGTGTGCTAACACATATATATGGAATCTAAAAAAAAGAAAAAAAAAAAAGGTTCTGAAGATCCTAGGGGCAGGACAGGAATAAAGACGCAGACGTAGAGAATGGACTTGAAGACACGGGGAGGGGGAAGGGTAAGCTGGGACGAAGTGAGAGAGTGGCATGGACATATGTACACTACCGAACATAAAATAGATAGCTAGTGGGAAGCAGCCACATAGCACAGGGAGTTCAGCTAGGTGGTTTGTGACCACTTAGAGCGGTGGGATAGGGAGGGTTGGAGGGAGGGAGACGTAAGAGGGAAGAGATATAGGAATATATGTATATGTATACTGGTTCACTTTGTTATAAAGCAGAAACTAACACACCATTGTAAAGCAATTATACTCCAATAAAGATGTTAAAAAATTTAAAAAAAGATGTAAAGTTACAAATCAGTTTTTGGCTGTTTTAGGACAGGTTACATGAACCAGAGAAGCAGAGGCGGCCAATCTGCAGAGTCGATAATGTAAACAGAGCAGAGAGGAGCAATGAAAAAATATGATAGGGAGTCCTGAGGAGGTCTGAGGTCCTGGTTCTCTTACTCTCTACCCTATGGGTGCATCAATGAAGAAGTCAGACAAATTCTTCCTCTGTTGCCTTGGGCATCTTTTAGAACAAGTGACACAACTCAATTGGGGAAGCGAGGAGAAAGAAATCACCTAAACTAGATTATATATACCCCATTAGGGAAGGCACCACATATAAGGGTTCTGGGAACCGCTTTAAGTCTGGAACAATAGTAGGTGCTGAGTAAATTTTTCTTGAATAAATTAATGATCATTTCATATGTAAGGGTAGAAGTAGTGAAAATGAGTAGAGTGGTACATGAATTTCCTATATTATATCCAGAGGCATATCAAGCACAGATATTTGAAACATAGAGTTACAGTGTAATTTAGTTGTTAAGGGCATGTGCATTGGAGCCAGACTCAAACTGAATCCCAGCATTACCACTTGGCAGGGCTGCCATCTTAGACATGGAGGTAACCTCTCAGTGCCTCAGTTTCTTCATCTGTGAAGTGGAAGTAATTACAGTATCTACCTCAAATAATCTTTGTGAAGATTGCATGAGCTGAAAATTAGTAAGTAAAGTACTTAGAACAGTGCCTGGTACACGTAACCATTCTGAGCGTTAGCTGTCATTTTAATAACATATCTACTACTAAAATTCTAGACTGTGGTACTCGGTAAGTTTATTCTCAATAAGTTTAGTTTTGCATTATTCTTTACTTTTTTTCATGTCTTTTAGTCCTGTACTCCAGAACAATTTCCACAGTGGTGGGCAATAAAGAGAATACGAAAGGATCTCTGAGATCCTTATCTTCCAGGTGAGGGACCAAGGCCCAGAACCAGCAAGGGAGTTGTCCAAGACTACAGCTCTCACGGCAGAACCAGACCTGGAATCCAGATCTAACTTCATGTTATTCTTAAACATTGTAATCAAAGAAAAAGATTTAAAACTGAAATGTACGTAAAATGGATACCCATCACAGAGATGCTAAAAGGTTTTACTATAGAACTTTAATACTTGATTTTTTGGCAACAGGTAGTGAAGAGTTACAGCCCTCATTAATTTGTAGGAGTTTTTGTAAAATAGTTTATTATACAGGATACTTGCAGCAGGGCCTGACATTTTTTTCTAGTTATGTAACTTACGTGAAATTGATGAAAAATGTTTAGCTCAACTTGAAGCGATAAATCACTCATTGTGATGTCCCAGAGCCTAAGAATATAGTTTTTATTAAAAACAAACAAGCAGACAAATAAATCAGTTGGTTTTCTAAAACCAATTCTTGGGTATTCTAAGAGAAACTTCAGTTATAAAACAACTGTGAGCATTGTTCACACTAGTTACCATTATAATGCAAGCTCTTACTTTTGTGCCCTGGCAGCATCCTCGAATATGGACAGGTGTTCAGAGTTCGTGCATTTCAGTGTGAGTGCTCATCGCCAAAAGCCACAGCATAGGGTAAGTAAACTTCCACTGTCTTTCCCCTATTGTCTAAACTGTTAAGCAATTAGAAGTCCGAGGCATTTACTTAGTTGAGAATACTGTTTTTATCACCAATTCTATGTCCCTGTTTTTCTAGCGCATACAAATCACCGAAGTATTTTAACCTCAAATTTTATTTAAATTTAAAAGTTGCCACTAATCACCAAAGAGCAGTTGAGATTCAACCCGGATTCAAGGAAGTCATATAAGATTCCCTGAATTAAAAGAAAAATTTGTAATTTCTTTATCATTTTAAAATTCTTAATGACAAGTCAACCTTTGAATTTATAGATTCTAGCTCATAATAACTTCTTCAGCAGGATATATTGTTCAGGAAAAAAGAACCTCAAATGCCTGGGTATCACTTCCACTATATTTTTTTCAACAAACCTTTCAGTTATACCACAAATTACTCTAATATTTGCCGTAATCTTCAGAAACAATAGTTTTCTCAAGAAAATGTATTAAAAGGAACGGTATACTATAACTCAACTCAACTGAACTATAACAAATTTCTCTAGAAAGAGATAAAAGTTTTATTTTATCTAAAATATTTTAGTAATGTTAGAATCTTTATTCTAAAGACTATGAAGAAAATTAACTCATGTGACCAGTTTAATATCAATATTTACTTAGACAAAGAAAGAAGGCTTCTGCTTTCCCATCAAGAGCATAAACAAAAACAATAAAAATATCAGAGAGGTGGCAGATACTGTCTGTGTTAACTGGAGAAAGAAAAGGAAAAGAGTTTCTGTTAAGGCAAGCCTCTTGATATGTTCAGTACTATTTTCCAAAAGAATCTCTTTCAAATTTATTTTTGAAATCTACTTCTCAAATACAATGTTAATAGGGAGCTATGGCTAAAGAAAAAGGGAAAAAATGCCCTTCAGGTGAATATCAGATGTTTGAGAGTTTCTCTTCCACATCACTCTGCTCTCTAGTGGTGAACAGCACTGTTCAATAGTTGATAATGTATTTTCTAAGAAAAAGAAAAAGTGGATTTGAGGTCAGTTTCTTATGTGTCTCAATATCTGATTTGTATTTTAATATTAAGATTTAGTTATTTACATTACTTAGGAATAAATTTCTTTAAACTCTTCCAGATTACATATGTTGCCATACTCCAATATGTTTATAAAGAATATGGATAAATTTCAACTTAAAATGAGTTTGAGGCTTAAATAGTTTCCAGATATTAGAAGAACCAAAAGAACTAGTTGGAAGATGAGCTAGGTAAACCCCTTAAAAAAATGAAACTTAGTTCTTCTTCAAAAAAAGTGGATATATTAAATGGAAGAATATGTATTTTCTTTTAACTTAAAGCTTCTGTATTCAATACTTAGGCTATTTCTTGCCAGTTGCATTTAATTTTATTAACTGTACAATTTTAAATAATGTTTATAAAATGAATTGCATCAAATAGAAAGATTTGTTGAGGATCATTACTGTATAGGTAAACAGGTTATAGCTTAAATCTCTGATGCTGCTTACAAATTTCTAGTCCATCAAGCAACAGACATTTGTTCTGTCTAACAAATCTACTGCAGAATAATTACAAGTTCTTGGTGGAGATCTTAAACAATTATAAGGGATCATCCCCATAACACTTTAATTTTATAAAAGAGAAGCTTTAAAATTACACCGGGAGAAGACAGTTCTTTATTTCACTCAATTTAATTAAATGCTCTATTTCTTCTATAAAGATAAAATTAGGCACTTATTCAATCCTGAAATTCTTAGATTAATTAAAAACAAAGTTGCTACTCCTACATTTATGAGTAAGCCATTAATGTACAGTATAAATAAATAGACACACTTACCTGGAATGAAAACAGAAAGAGCTGAAAACGCTTGAGAAAGTTTCAATAGATAGAAAAGAAACTGAAACAGCAGTATCCACTACCACCGGCTCAGCCTTTTGGCTTTTGTAAAAAGTGGCAGCAATAACCAGTTCAGGCCCAGTACCCTTGTGTTATGTAACAACTCATTAATATTAGCCATCAAACTGCTACCAAGCTGCTGAGGCACTAGAGGGCAAGAGTGTCACATGCAAGACCGGTCGCCAAGGGACAGGTTTGGGTACCACTTCGGGAAGACAGATGCTAACTAAGCTGATAAATAACACAATGCCTGAACGCAGCAGCGAACTTGTAATGTTCCTCAAACAATATTTAAAATGTCAATTTTCTGTCTAGCTGAAGAGTTAACAGGTTAATAAATCTGCATAAGCAAATAACCACACCATGCAAAACTTTCGGGATTATATTTACAAACCTACAGTCATCCAGGAAGCTATTTTTTTCTTCATTGTCTAAATAAACTTATTTAAAACAGTAGGGGAAAGGACAATTAAATAAAACGAGTGGCCGTTTCAGGACCCCTTCAAACCGCGAGAAACTTGCCCTGACCGTGCGCGCCGCCTCTGGAGTCCGCATTCCAAGTCGCCGAGGACCGCCCGGTCCCTGGTGGTTTCCTCGGGCTGCGGGCGTCCGCGGGAGCCGCCTTCCCGGGTCCTCAGCCTCCGCGGCTCCTCGCGGCGGCCCCGCCGTTCGGGCTTCTTTCAGGGGCGACGTGGTGCCGGGAGCCCGGCGGGGGCGGCCCCTCCCCTCGCGCGCCCGGGTCCCCGCGGCCGCGTCCGGTGGGCGCCTCGCGGATCCGGGAGTGCGGGCGGCGCCGGGCGGGAGCGGCCGCGGGGCGAGCGCTGCGGACGCGCGGGGTACTCGTGCGCTCGCTCAGACGCGCTCCGCGGCCCCGGGACCCGCCCGGCAGCGCCGGCGCCGCCCTCACGCTGCCTCACGGCTCCCGACCCGCCCGCGCCCGCGCCCGCGCCCGCGCCCGCCCGCCAGCTTAAGGGGAGGAGGCGGGAGCCAGGGGGCTGGAGGCGCCTTCATCCGCCCGCCTCGCACCCGGGTCGGCCTGCCCAGCCCTCGGCTTGGGGACCCCGGGCGTCCCGCCCCGGTCGTCCGGTTCCGACGGCCACTGCGGGCAGTATTGGTAGCGGCCGCCAAGGATGAGAAGGGTTGTGCCGCGTGGGAAGTGGGTGCGAGTCCTTGAGGCGGGCTGGGAAGGGGGGCGGGCTCACCCTCGTAGTCCCCTCTGGTCACGCTCCCGCCAGTGACACTGGACCTGGCAGAGCAAGGCGGGCGGCTTCGAGGTTGTAAGCAGGGAATTGCCACTATTTGCGGGCTTTCTAAAGGCCACGTGTTCCAGCTCCTGAAGACAAATGGAATGACAACAACTGGAGCAACATTTTGGATACAAGGTGTGAGGTTACACTCTTCTAAACTATAGGTTGATCAGGAGCCTCAATCGAATGATTTTTTTTGTTTTTTCTTTTAGATTCCATTTTGACCCACTAACATAGCATATGTGACAGTTTTACTAAGTGGGGGAAGTGGATCTACTAATGATAACTTGTAGTGGATATTTGTGGTTTTGCTTTGCAGCTACTCGCTCCTCTTCATGGAAACAGTACCCTCGTTTATTTTGAGGATCGTACCAGCACCCCTCGGCCCATAAGCTTCAGGTGATATCAGCCACTACTATGACTCACTGGGTGACCCACGACTCAGGTATGGCCATTAGAAGCATTATGTCTTCCTGGTAGCTAGGACTGGTTTACAGAAAAGTATATGACCAAGTCTGGCCAGTCAGAGACAAGAAAGCACCGTTTTGGGACTTTTTTTGGCCCCCTTAAGAAAGGGACTCCCTTCCATTGGACTTTGCAGAGTGAGTTGTGAGCTTAGAGCTTCTTTGTGTCACCATGTGAAGTCTGGGAATGAAGCAAATACTCAGGCATACCTGTGAGTTGGAGGAAAGCTAAACCTAGATGGGGATATTTGAGCTCTGAACCCAGCTGCTGCTGAAAAAAGGTCCTAACTTTGGATATTTTCAATTACAAATCACCAAATTCAGTTTTGTCTTAAGGCAGCTTGAGTTGAAATTTCTGCCTTGTTGGAATTGAAAGAGACCCAAATGATACAGAAATTAAACATTTTGGTCGTTTATTAACTTTAAGGGAGCATTTGGATACTGTATAGCGAGATCTTCGATTAGATTCTCATGTTTTGAGTTAGCTTGAAAATTTAAAAAGCCTGAAAGTTGTGTATTCTTTTTGCTCTTTTGATAAAGAGGCTACAGAAGTAACTGAACGAATTACTCCTTCTGGAAGCCTATGAAAATGTCAAGATGGTAGAATTCTTTTGCCAGATGACATGTATTAGATTGTTTTTTTAAATTAATTAATTAATTTTGTTGTGGTCCCCCCCACCCCCCACCCCCCGGGAGTCTTGTGCCTTTCAGGAATTTTAAGAACTTACATTTTTTTTTTAAATGCATCTTTTCCAGAGAACTTGCTCTGTCATCCAAGCACCTTTACAGTCTTCATTTCAGTTATAAAAATAAAAAAAAAGAAAAATTATTGAACATCTACTAAATGGTCCACCTACTAAATGTTAAATAATATTTTAATAAGAAAATAAAAGCAGGAACCTTCCCTGCTCTTCTGTTACTTACGTATTGATATAGGGATAGGAGGTCAGGCTCTTCTACAAGATTTCAGGAAATAGAAAAGATTCATGAATCTTTGATTGGAGGCGCAAATTTCCTGAATCTTTGGGGAGAATTGCTACCTTCACCAGTGATTGCTACTCTAACCATCTAACTGGAAGTACAGACACCTTAGGATTCTGTGTTGTTTTCCTATGAGATAGTCAAGTCTTATAGCTCTATTCCACAAGTTCCCATCAGTGCACATATGAAATTTAAGCCAGTGTAATAGCAGATAGATATGTTGCCTATATTTCCTTCCTCTTTACTTGCCCATATTTCCTTCCTCTTTACTTGCCCAGCAGAAGGTAAAGAGGCAATAGATAGCAGTGTCAACCGTTGTCCCCTCTAGCCTTTCCTTCCTGTCTTCTTCCCTAACCCAGGAGTATGAAGGCCGGGGAATAATTTTTCCTCCCAAGAGATTCCAGTCTATGCAACACTCATTTTAGACAGCAAAGAACCTGTGGCAGTGGCGGAAGCAGAGGTGGAGAAGATGTTCTAGCCCAGTGTCTCACATTTGTAAAGAACCTCAAATTTAGTATAATCTCTAAATGAACTTATACAATATTTTTTAATGTGATAAATGTGTTAGCTTTGGTTTAGACTTACGGGATAAACCACAGTTTTTGTATCTACCTTTAGCATATCTACTATTACTATTTACGTAAATACTGGAGACCTCAAAAATGGAAGTTCAGGCTTCTGTCAACCTCTGAGAAGCCCTGAGGTAATATGAAATATATTTATCAGAGACCCAGCTCTGTAAATCAAATACCTGTGGAAACCATTAATAAGAAAGAAAAAGAACAAAACTATGCACTTTTGTATATTGAAATATTCAACCCTTGTATTTAGTCACTCTGAAATAAGACACTGAATGATGGAGATTTAAGAATTTATGCTTTGTATAGTTTAAAAATTATTTGTATCTTTTGATGTTTTTTTTCCCCCTGCCTCTAAATACTTCTATGTGGAGGTGATGATTATGAAGGATTGGGAAACTCATTTCAATTTGCAGTCTTCTTCTATTTTCAGTGTCTAAATTAAATCAACATACTATTCTAACAAGTTTTTAAAAATGCAAGTGTTAATAAAGAATACATCAGTATTTCTGACCTGAAATATCTAGTAAGTGTAGTATTACTTTTCTTGAAAATATTCAGCTTGGATCTATACTTATAGTAATCAATGACACTGTTAAGCTGCTGAAAGGTAATGGATGAAGATTTGAAAGAAAGCATATTCTAGCTAGAAACTGCTAACTCAGCTCAAGGAAATGTACCCCAACTTTCTTCATTGTCTCAAGAGATGTTAAGTGAAAATAGATCAAAACCAAAAATCTCCCCAAAATAATTGGTTAGGAGGAAGAGAAATGGAAGTGGTATCCGGCTTCTCAAAAGCCACAGAGAAGATGAATTTTACCTGCCTCTAGGTCTCCTTGCAAACATCCCTGTGAAAAGTGTACAAGGTTGAATTAGTAGTATGAAAGTCTTGTCTTATTTTATAAAACACCAATTTAAACTTAATAGATTAGATTAGAGCAGTGGTTCTCAAATTTTAGGGTGCATCAGTATAATCTGGAACGCTTATTAAATCACAGGTTGGTGGGCCCCACCCCAGAGTTTCTGATTCACTAGGAGTCCGGTAGGGCCGGATAATTTGCATTTTTAACAAGCTGCCAGGTGAAGCAGATACTGCTTATCTGAGGCTACACTTTAAGATCCCTTGCATTAGAGCATTATTGAGAACACAGCTTGTGTCTTTATGTGGGTCTATAAGAATGAACATTTATTATTGTATAAATTATTTGGTTTTCAAAACTAGTTCTCTTTTTTTATGTTACTCATCATAAATATACAGTAAAGTAAGGAGTTTTTGAAACATCTTTACTGAAGTATAATTGCTTTACAATGGTGTGTTAGTTTCTGCTTTATAACAAAGTGAATCGGCTATACATATACATACATCCCAATATCTCCTCCTTCTTGCGTTTCCCTCCCACCCTCCCTATTCCACCCCTCTAGGTGGTCACAGAGCACCAAGTTCATCTCCCTGTGCTATGTGGCTGCTTCCCACTAGCTATCTATTTTACATTTGGTAGTGTATATATGTCCATGCCACTCTCTCACTTGCTCCCAGCTTACCCTTCCCCCTCCCCATGTCCTCAAGTCCATTCTCTACCTTTTTATTCCTGTCCTGCCCCTAGGTTGTTAGGAACCTTTTTTTTGTAGATGTTGTTTTTTTAGATTCCATATATATGTGTTAGCATACGATATTTGTCTTTCTCTTTCTGACTTACTTCACTCTGTATGACAGACTCTAGGTCCATCCACCTCACCACAAATAACTCAATTTTGTTTCTTTTTATGGCTGAGTAATATTCCATTGTATATATGTGCCACATCTTCTTTATCCATTCAACTGTTGATGGACACTTAGGTTGCTTCCATGTCCTAGCTATTGTAAATAGAGCTGCAATGAACATTTTGGTACATGACTCTTTTTGAATTATGGTTTTCTCAGGGTATATGCCCAGTAGTGGGATTGCTGGGTCGTATGGTAGTTCTATCTGTAGTTTTTTAAGGAACCTCCATACTGTTCTCCATAGTGGCTGTATCAATTTACATTCCCACCAACAGTGCAAGAGGGTTCCCTTTTTTCCACACCCTCTCCAGCATTTATTGTTTAAAGATTTTTTGATCATGGCCATTCTGACCAGTGTGAGATGATATCTCATTGTAGTTTTGATTTGCATTTCTCTAATGATTAATGATATTGAGCATTCTTTCATGTGCTTGTTGGCAACCTGTATATCTTATTTGGAGAAATGTCTATTTAGGTCTTCTGCCCATTTTTGGATTGGGTTGTTTGTTTGTTATTGAGCTGCATGAGCTGCTTGTAAATTTTGGAGATTAATCCTTTGTCAGTTGCTTCATTTGCAAATATTTTCTCCAATTCTGAGGGTTGTTTTTTGGTCTTGTTTAGGGTTTCCTTTGCTGTGCAAAAGCTTTTAAGTTTCATTAGGTCCCATTTGTTTATTTTTGTTTTTATTTCCATTTCTCTAGGAGGTGGGTCAAAAAGGATCTTGCTGTGATTTATTTCATAGAGTGTTCTGCCTATGTTTTCCTCTAAGAGTTTGATAGTGTCTGGCCTTACATTTAGGTCTTTAATCCATTTTGAGCTTACTTTTGTGTATGGTGTTAGGGAGTGTTCCAATTTCATACCCTTACATATACCTGTCCAGTTTTCCCAGCAACACTTATTGAAGAGGCTGTCTTTTTATTCTTGCCTCCTTTATCAAAAATAAGGTGACCATATGTGTGTGGGTTTATCTCTGAGCTTTCTATTCTGTTCCATTGATCTATCTTTCTGTTTTTGTGCCAGAACCATACTGTCTTGATTACTGTAGCTTTGTTGTATAGTCTGAAGTCAGGGAACCTGATTCCTCCAGCTCCATTTTTCTTTCTCCAGATTGCTTTGGCTATTTGGGGTCTTTTGTGTTTCCATACAAATTGTGAAATTTTTTGTTCTAGTTCTGTGAAAAATGCCAGTGGTAGTTTGATAGGGATTGCATTGAATGTGTAGATTGCTTTGGGTAGTAGAGTCATTTTCACAATGTTGATTCTTCCAATCCAAGAGCATGGTGTATCTCTCCATCTGTTTGTATCATCTTTAATTTCTTTCATTAGTGTCTTATGGTTTTCTGCATACAGGTCTTATGTCACCTTAGGTAGGTTTATTCCTAGGTGTTTTATTCTTTTTGTTGCAGTGATAAATGGGAGTGTTTCCTTAATTTAGCTTTCAGATTTTTCATCATTAGTATGTAGGAATGCAACAGATATCTGTGCATTAATTTTGTATCCTGCTACTTTACCAAATTCATTCATTAGCTCTAGTAGTTTTCCGGTAGCATCTTTAGGATTCTCTCTGTTTGGTATCATGTAATCTGCAAACAGTGACATCTTTATTTCTTGTTTTCCAATTTGGATTCCTTTTATATCGTTTTCTTCCCTGATTGCTGTGG